TTTAATGTGCAGGATAAAAAAATGATATCCAATAAATAGGGGTATTATGGAAAATAAACAATCAATAATACAAGAGATAAGAAAGAATTGGATCCTATATTTAAGACTAAATCAAGACTTTTGAACGGATCTTATATTTAAGCTTAGAGGGAATAGTTAAGAATATAAAGAAAGGGTTGCGAATGAGAGAGGAGCACATGGTTCAAATATTAATTAGGGAAAATAACTCCAATATAATAGGTCCCACACAATACCCTAAAATACCATAAAGGGCATGCATCTGTGCAATAATTGAATAATTTTAAGGGATTTTATGGTATTTTATGATGTTGCGGGAGGATTTTTGGAATAATTTTTCCCATTAATTAATTATGAGATTATTGTGAAATGCAATTTCAATTTCCACCACAGGCCTTGCCCTTGAAACCAACCACCTCTGCTACGTATGTCTCTCATGCACCCTTCTTTCTATATCTTTCTTTTCACATTCTCACATTCATAACATTAATATTATTGATTGTGATGATTTTTCATTCATTTACACATTGTCTTTTCTTTTTGTAAATTTTACACATTCTCTTTTACAATCATTTGCGTCTACTATATATCTATTATGATCTGATTAATTCATATTTGAGCATCGTTATATAAAGATGTAATGTTCTCAGCATGATTTTTCTTGTGTTTAAATGATACTGTGTTCTTATCCAACTCAATAACTACTAAAGATTCCATTTACTCCATTGAATCAAATCAGTAAACTCACCGTGACAAACCATTTTACTATACTAGATATGACTAATTTAAAATATTAAGAAAATTAGTTAAATTAGTTCTTTGTAATCCATGAGTGTTAGTTTTTCTAAAGTATTCTTAGTAATCATCTACATTGGAACTATCTTTAAATTGAATCTGTTAACACGCGCAATTAATAGGAATACCTTGAAGAAAATTATAAATTAGGAAGACTCTTAGTAAATTAAAATCTTATATTTAGAATAAATCCTCATCTAACTCTTATATTAAGAATTAAAGGTAGTATTTAATATCGAAGTGATTGCCATTTCTTGTTCAAAATTAATGTGATGTTAGAAACATTAAATTTTATATGTAAATGTACGAGAATGTGGAAAACAGAAAAAATGAGCCCGGAGGCGTGACATATTCGTGTAGTCCTTTTTGGGTCTGTGGAGCTATCGCCTATCATTTATTCATTTACATATGACAGTGTAACTTTCATTTTTAAAACTTATAATTATCATTTGATTCATTTGATCTTAAGATTGAATATTGCCTTAAACTCTAAGCATTGACAATCTCAATAATAATACTGTTCCTTCTTTCACACAAAAGGATCCGAAAGAACGCATAGATGAAATTTGATATTACATCAAGAACTTAAAACCTTAAAACTTAATTGTATGAGGTTTTTCACTTATGAACTTAAAACCAAAATCTTAATTCTCTCTTCTTCCTTCGTTCAGGCAGGTCTCAGGAGGAAGGAGGGGCTTTGATAGCCTTACATAACTTTAAAACACGAATCCTGTTAGTATCCTTTGTTGATCCAAAATCGCACTATAAATTTCTGTTGTCTCTTGGATTTTTTCCCCCAGTTAGTTCTCCTCCTTGTTGCTTATCTGATCATCTGGATTTAGCAGTAGACCACAGGTCCATTTTGGGTTTCAGTTCTCAAGGCCATGTTTCTGACCATTCCTTTATGAAGTTTAGCTACCGCTATATTGTTCTCAACCACACGATAGCCTTCTACTTTACATTTTAACCCCTCTTACACTAGACAATAACTACTGTTGCTGGCAAAAGGAAGTAAAAAAGGGTTTTTTTTTAACCAAAATACTATAAACAGTAAAATTATTCACTAAAATGCTGCCTTTTAAAAGTATTTATCAATATACTGCACTTAAAATTGTTCTTGACAAGAACGATTTTCAAATTATACACAAGTCCTTCTTGGCAAGAATGATTTATATTTTAACTGATAAAAAGTAAAATCGTTCTTGACGTGAATGATTTCACTTTTTTCTTATTTACTCCCCATGCCAGAATCTCTGCCAATTTTGTGTGCAAGAATCTCTGACACTATGCACGTGAGAATCTCATTCCCTTCCCGTGAGGCTATAGCATCATATATGGTTTTATATATTACATGTTTTCTTACTTCATCTCTTGCTCTCTCTTCTCCTCCTCCTCCTCCTACTTCATCTCTAAAATCTGAGCTTTCTCTTGCTCTGTTATTTTTTCACTCTTGCTTCTAAGCACTTGACAAGTTCTTTTTACTGTTGCTGTAGGTATGTTGTTTCTCTTCTATTTTTTCTTTTAAAAAATTTGCAGCTATGATATAGAATTTGATTTTTCATCCATACTACCCTTGATGAGTTAATATTTCATTATTCTAATTTTCAGGAGGTTAGTGGTGGGTTCAACAATTTGGAATATTTGTACTCTTTCTAAGCTAGGTGCCTCTTATTTTAACGGTAAAACTATCATCAGTTATATTTTTTAAAATGTTAAGATTTTGATAGAAGCTCCCATTTTTTTTTTAGTATATGATTATTATTTTTTCTTATGAAAGTATACTTCTTCAGAAGTTTAAATTTGGTAAGATAAAACTGAAAAATAATTATATATACACCCTAAATATCAAATGTACGGTATATATTAAGGTGGTAAATTAAAAAAAAAGTGTTTACCCACTTCTAATGAACTATTGCTTTCATATATTTTTTAGGTAAAAATAAGATGTAAATAATGAAAAATTGAAATGAATGAAGGGCACTCATATCCCTTTTTTTATTTTGCCTTTTCCATGCTCTTTGCTATGTTGCATTTTTTAATTAAGTGATGACATTCATGATATGAATGTTTTGAATCAGAGTAAAATACTCTGACTATCCTTCTAGTTTGCATCAATTACATAGATCTTCCCTCTATTTTAAAAACATACAATTTAGTCTAATTAGTTAACATTGTTAGTAGGAGTATTTTAAAAAGATTCTAAAAATATTATTTTTAACTGAAATTTATATTAAAATAAAATTTATTTACTATTTTACTTCTGATTCTAATAAATTCCTAAATTATGTTTTTATAGTTACATTAATTTCATTCAGTTAAGGCAAATATAAAAGATTGGATTAAAACTTTAACTAATTTTTTTTAATAAATATATATTTAACTAAATATGTTTATAAATCTTTGTAATAAAGAAGTGTTTAAAAGTTTTGAATTATAAATTTAAATAATAATAAATCTTTGAAACTTATATCATTTAAATTGTATGATAAATAAAACTATGAATTTTTTTTGGTCAAAATAAAAACTATGAATTTGAAATATGTTTTTTACAATTTAAAAAAATCAAAGTAAATATTTTTTAATGAATGTGATAAACTAGAGAAAAAATCTTTATTTTGAACCCTTCATTTCTGATTTTGGCCTAAAAGATTTTAGCCCAATTAAATTTTTAGTTTCATGCAACGTTTTTTTAAATTTAAAAGAAACTAACGTAACATTTTGCTTGCATTTAGAGAATAATGTTTTAATATGAACCTTTGGCTTACTCCACCAATAATTGAGTTGTCTCGGCCACAAATTCCTCATGATAGACCGAGCAAGTGAGCGGCGGTTACTTGTTTACCCAACCTATAATTGAAAACGAAAATATAGGAAAATAGGAACCTTTAATTTTACTCAGGCTTGCAACATATCACCGTCACCATCATCCCCTTTCACCTCTGTTGATCCTACACAACTTGAGTTTCATTACATGGTACCCTCATCTCATCTCCTTCCAACTCATCTCCTTCCAACCCAAATCCTTCTCAATTAATCATTCATAACTTTATTAGATAATCCTGCACTATTTTTAGCAGAATACAACACGTCTACTTTTGAACATGACGAACCATTAAATGAAGCATTTGTGTGTTGACGTGTTCAAATCAAACCAAGGTGATTCTTACCACATTTCAAATTCAATTAACATACGAAAATGGCTACTTCTAGCTTCTCTTCCTGGCAATTCAATTCAATTTTGGCCGGCGAGACTAGTCTATGGTCATATTCAAGACTTCTCAAAGGAAAATTTTTCTAGTATTTTGTATAACCTATGGTCAAATTGACTGATAAAACACTCATGACAATTGATTGTGAAATAACCAAAAAGTATTCCTCTTGGTCCTTTTTACTTGGCCTATATACTATATTTCAATTCAATTATAAATCAAACAGTGACTAAGTCTAGGAACCTTTTTTTTCCCGTCTGATGAAAGAATTTGGGTGGTGGACCCAGCCCACTGGGAGAGGGTGTCTGCTGGCCCCTCCCTCCTTCCCTATCATTTTCTCTTCCCAAATTTTTTTTTGTTTCTTTTGATTAGTAGATTCCACATTCAATGAGTAAAATTTTGATATCTGGGCGAAAAAATGGAGTTTTTTTCAATTTTTTATGATTTTTCAAAGGATTTAAAAAAAAAAAAAACTCTAAGCAGCACAGATTTTTATGTAAATTTTTGAAAAATCATAAAAAAAATTGAAAACAGCTCCATTTTTCACCCATCACCCATAAAATATCAAAATGTCACTCATTGAATCTAGAATCTGATAATGAAAAGAAACAAGGAAAAAAAAAATCTGGGAAGGAAGGGAAAATGAGGGGGAAGTAAGGAGGGCAGCATGCACCCCTCTCCCCAACCCCCACCAAACCACAGATTGTGATATTGATTGGACAAATGGGGCTTTCTAACCTTAAGGTGCTGATTGGAACTAACTTTAATACTTAAAGAACTGTATCCAAACTAAGAAACCATGAAGGTAGTATTAATAAATGGTAAGCTAACATAAAATAGCAAAGTAACATAATAATATCCATGTCTCATCAATCTAAAGTGACACATAATAATAACATAAATATATAGCCCACACATACACTAAAGCTGAATACTAAGATGTAATGACATCAACTGAATAAACTGACAGACAGACAATCAGACACGTGGCTTCATCCGTCCCTCGTTAGCCATTCTGAAAAGTTGAGCTTGTGCTGCGGCAGCCTTGTTTGAGCTAAGTGAAGCTGCAAATCTGTCCCTTACTTGTTTGGTTGTGTAAGGGAACTTGTTGTTCACCAAGGAGTTAAGGAAAGAAGCTGTGCCTTCTCTGTAAAGAGCTCCAAACCCATCATTTCTTGTGTTGGAAAGTGATTCTGGCAAACTCAGACTGGTTCCCAACCCTGGAACGTTAGTAACTCCGAAGGCACTTCCTAAGGTTCCCCACCATCCTAGCAATCCCCATATGATTCCTGGGTGGTTCCTCCAGTAGCTGTAAATTGGCGAAAATGAGGCATTTTCAGTAACATTACTTGTTTTTTGACAGTCTACTTGCATGCATTCTTATATATGGTGGAGTGAAACATGACTTACTTGCAGGTGCCAGTGAAGGGAGAAGGCGAAGGAAGATAAGGTGGTGTGCCTGGATCAATTGGGGTGGTTGGTGGGCTCACACTGATCGGAGTTAGGAGGGCTGTTTCCTCCGTAAGATGGTGTTGTTGGTGGTGAGTTATAGTAACCACCGCCTCCTGACGGTGTTGGGGGGCTATTACCGTCGTAGGATGGTGTTGGGGGGCTATTGCCGTCGTAGGATGGTGTTGGGGGGCTATTACCGTCGTAAGTTGGGATGGTGGTGGTGAGTTATAGTAACCACCGCCTCCTGATGGTGTTGGGGGGCTATTACCATCGTAGGTGGTGTTGGGGGGCTATTACCATCGTAGGGTGTTGGGGGCTATTGCCGTCGTAGGGTGGTGTTGGGGGGCTATTACCATCGTAAGTTGGGGATGGTGGTGGTGAGTTATAGTAACCCCCGCCTCCTGATGGTGTTGGGGGGCTATTACCGTCGCAAGATGGCGATGGGGGACTACTACCGTCGGAAGATGGTGTTGGGGGGCTATTGCCATCATAAGATGGCGTTGGGGGACTATTGCCGTCATAAGATGGTGTTGGTGGTGGTGAGTTATAGTAACCACCGCCTCCTGATGGTGGGTTTGATGGTGTGGTTGGGGTTGACGGGGTTGATGGAGTTGACGGTGTTGACGGCGTTGTTGGGGTCGTCGGAGAAGGTTCATATGGGGGTGATCCACCGTCACAGTTCCCGCTGGAGGGTGGCGAAGGGCTTGGGTTACAACTTCCACCTCCGCCGTGTGATGGGGTTCCATGATGAGAAGGTGACGAGCCTCCATGATGGCCACCTCCAGAACCATGACATGGTGACCTCCTGTGTGAGCCTGTATTATCCATCAAGATTATAACTTCGTGATGAGCACATTGTAAATGCATGAGACTCTAAACTAATAAAAAGGCGATACAGAGAGACATTGCGTGTGTGTGTGTATCAGAGATGCTTCAGTTAGAGCATTACACAGAGAACTAGAGAGACTTGCGGGAGGACTTCCTGAATGAGGGTGTGGAGAGTAGTGGTTTTTCTGGCCTTCAATGGTGGTGGATATCACAGGGATTATAAGGTTCTGAGAAATCAAGCAAGTGAGAAGTGTGTACACTAAAAAAGAAGCATGGCTACTTCTCTTCTTCTCCATCTCTCTCTGATCTGCTGCAAGTCGCTTAGAGAGATTAGAACAACCTTGTAGAACAAGCGAGAGAAAGATGAATGGAGTTTGAGGATTTTGAAGTGGTTTAGAGGGAATATAAAATGGTTTCAGAGAGTGTAGTAAATATTAGCAGGTGAAGGAGTGTGTGGTTAGTTGATGTGTTGCAGGCTGCATTTACTCTCACCATTTATTTCTTTTCTCTCCAATAATGCTTCAATTTTGCGTTTACCTTTAATGCACTGAACTTGCATTACCCTAGCTCTAGTTTCACGGCATGGAGAATTTCACCTCCTCACTTTCTTTACCATTAGATTTTGACAAGTTAAAGCAGGAAGCTCAAAACTAACCGTGTCTGGTTTTCCAAAAGATCGAACCTATCAATATAATTGACCCTATTAAATATCTGTCTTAATAAAGCAGGTCTTGTTTCCTGTTGATCATAAGCTTAATTTTTGTGTGCAAATTAATCTTCTTCTATTCCACAGAAGCTTAGGAGTTCAAAATTTCTGTTGGTCTTGCGAGTATCTGACACATCAGTGAAATCTGCAACATCATCGATCCTACACTAAAGGAGGCTGATGGATGCGATGTGGATTGCCTAAACAAAGATTTGTCAATATTCATAATATGGCATATATTCTGAATACAGCTAAAGTTGATCTACAGATAGTAAATAAAGTGTAATTATGAGATATAGACTCTTCATATTCTTGTTTCACTCTTCCTCCAAAAATATAAATACACATGAATGAAGATATATATATATATATATATATAATTTGTGTTGTTTTCTTTGCATGATAACCTGGGCGTGACTAAAACACCCAGAAAATCAAACTCCTTTGGTTTCTTTCTTCCCTCTGTGAATGAATGTTATTACTGCAAGAAAAATCTATTACTACAAATCTCAACAGAGAAGAAGCTGTGAGAAAGGAAATCTTCGTTGCTTGTCCTCCATGAACTGCCCATTTCTCACAGATAGGCTCTGACTATAATAATAGCTGACCACAAAGTTGTTAATAATGTCATATATCTACCATAATATTTTGTGTGGCCCAGATAATCAATCCAGACCTTGTTCCCCAGCTTGGACATAAATATCTAGAGAAGTCTATCATCCTCATCATAACGTTATTTAGATATCGGGAAAAACAAGGTCATCAAATATGAGATTTTTTTAATTACATGTTTGAAAATGTTAGCACCGACCCAGGCCCCAGGTATTATGAAGATGTTGGAAGATGATTCATGCTGCTATAAAGGAAGGTCACAAAGAAAATCAAAGGGAGAGAGATTGAAGAAGAGGAGAGAGTGACATATGGCAAGGCGAAGGAGAGTGAGTAATGAGTGGAATTGAATTGAGATAACAGAGAGTTGGTGAGAATGCACAGTAATGTTGGGAAAGCAGTAAATAGGGATAGCAATTTGTTGTCCTTCTTTGGGGAATACTAATTAATCTCTCAACTCTTCCATTGACTTGGTTTGTTTCCTTTGAAAACAAAAAAGAGCAAGCTTGTTTTTTAGTTACAAATTTCACTTCAAGTAAAAGAAAGGAACTTAGAAGTAAATTAGCACGTCACTACGTAATGCAAAGTTGTTGTCTGTAATGTTGAGTTCTCATTCTCGTGATAACATTTCTAGTACCTCTAACTTCAAATTCCGAAAGACTTTAAGGATTAACAGGTCACGCTGTGTTCTAAATATATATGAGCCTGGATGAGTTTATTTTAATCCTAAATATAAATATAAGATCTTAATCCAATTTGTTTTTCAAATTTATAATTTTTTTTCCTTCAAAAGTATCCCTATTGATTACATATAGTAAGAGAATTCTCACTAAGGAGTAAAAACAACGTATATGATTAGAAAAAAGATATTCTAGAGAAGCCAATACATATTTGTTACAAATGATTAACTCAACTAATTTACCTAGATACTGTTTGGTATGAGGGAAATAGAAGGAAAAGAAAAACTTTAATGAGGTCTATTTAAAAAATTGGAAAAGTAGGGTTTTGAAATTTTAATAAAAAGAAGAAGTAATATAAAGAAGTAATAAAAATTAATTAAAAGCTTTTAACCTTATTTTTAAAATTTTTTAAATTGAGTTCATTAAAATTTTTTCTCATACCAAACGGATTTTTAATATTAATAAATTAGTTATCTAACTTTTATAATAAGAATAAGAAGAGTACTAAATAAAGTTGTGATTCGTGAATATGTACCTATCATTCACGAGTAGGCGCATGCACTTGTCATGTCCGAAGACAAAAGTTTCTATCCTTATTTTGAAATTTGGTTATTATTCTTATACAATGTTGTGTTATACTGCTAATAAGCATTAGTGATTAAATAGTTAAAAACACTTTTTGAGGAATCAAATCCCACCCCAATAACCCTTTTTTTTAAAATAATTTTCCGATCGCCGGTTTCAGAGCTCTGGCCGGCCTCCAGCAAGGGCAATGACATTGGAAGAGGAGTCTTTCCCCTCAAAAAAGGTGAAGGGGTATTTATGTAAATGTGCTCAATTTTTAATTACATTTAAATCTCTTGACATTTACGGGGATTAGCTTAGACAATTTTGTGACTATTTTTTTGTTAATGACCTATTTCAACAGTACTTATATGTCATTCTCCCTAGACTTCATTGGGAAAAAAAGAAGTCATATAGACATATACTGTTCAGATTACTAATTAAAATAGAGTCACCATGACATGTAAAAAGAGGGTAGGCTCGATATCTTAAAAATACTTTAATAAATTAAGATATTTTTTGTGATATATAATAAATGTTACATTGTGATTTGAAATAGGCCCTATATTTATAGGACAAACTAGAAAGGACATATTAAATTGAGACTTAAAGGGAGTAATTGATAGAGTTTCTAAGAAAAGATGTAAATAATAAAGTATATAAGTATTGTGCTTATAATGTTATTATATAACTTTTTGAAAAAAAAAGTTACAACTTTTATTTTTTGAGGTCTTTGTATAGAGGTGATCTAGACGCCGGAGCGGAGAACTATCCCATATTTCTGTTACAATATTTTTGTGTTAATCAATTATATTAACAGAGTATTAATTGTATCATTTCTATTTCTATATGCGATGAATAACTTTCTAATTAAATGTGAAGAAAGCATTGTTGAAAAAGGAAAATGTCAGGACAGAATTAAATGACATGTGAGGGTCAATCAACTACAATTTTTCACTTTGTCTGAATCTATAGAATGGAAAAGAATTAAATTATTACTACGTTGTTGGTGACACGATTAATTGTGTAATTTATAAGTATTCAAGGAATATGATTGCGTCAAACAATAGATAGAAATGGAAGAAAAAGGACTAAGGGGGAAAAAGTTGGTTGAACAATTTAATGAAATATAGAGAGGCAGCAATTAATTGGATTTTGGAATAAACAACACTTCCTCCATTTCTTTTTATAAAACAACTATTAAAAAAGTTTTTTTGGGTAACTAATATTAAAAATGTTTTACATATAAAATATTTTGCAAAATCTAGATGGTACTCCCTTCGGTAGTTAGGTGCCACCGTTTGATTATTTACCAGCTCTGTTTATTTCTTTGGGAAGATGACTCAGTGATTCGGAAAACGGAAAGTATTAGATTTCTCGCTGGAATTTCGACCATAAATGTTTTTATACATATTTAGAATTGTTTTATATTTTTTTGGCCAAATAGAATTGTGTCATATTAAAATTATAATTTTGATGAATAATATATCTCATGATTAATACATCTTATTTTATAAATTTTATTTGTTAAAAACATATTAATATAACAATTTAGATTGCATTAATTCGGTTATTTTAATACTATCAGTTCCTAATATAAGAGTTAGATTTAGATAACTAATTTGTAAATATTAAGAAAATTAGTTAAGGTAATTATTTGTGATAAATGAATGTTGTCTTTTTTAAAATATCCTTATTAATCATATGTATTAGAATAAAAACCCTTTTAACATGCACTGCCTCCATTCCACATATAATATAAAAAATTAGTTAAGTTTTCTCAAAAACTAAGGAATTGTAGTTAAATTATTAAATTTGTTTCAAATTGATAGAAGTTACTTATTTTATTTTTATTAAAGAATGTGACTGAGAAATTCTCTCTTACCTATCATCCTTATAACAAGGATCAAGGATGGAAAACTATCATTAATTACCATGTCAAAATATCTTATATTTTGGACCAAAATTTTTTCTAACCAATTTCTCATGGATTGGAGGGATTACAATTATTATGGGAACTATTTTGAAAATAAAAAAAATAAATATAAAAAAAGTGGATTGGAATATTATATTTAGAATCAAATTGAATCATTAACTAACTTTTATATTTAGAAACCAGATGAAGTGGATAAATACACATATACATAGATGCATATAATAATGCCAACTCTTAATATATATGTGCCGACAAATAATAAACAGCTTTAAACTACTAGTTGGAGGGTTATTTATATGAAAGTATAAGTTTGAGAGATTTATTGTGAAATTTTAAAAATTAAAAATATTATCTGTGCATAATATATATAATATAAAACTAAGGGCCGGGGAGTTATATATAATTTTAAAAAATATTTAAAAAAAAAAAGAAGTCTTGTACACGCTTCCATTCTTTATATCACGTTCCCTTTGAAGTCTTGGACAAATTTTACAATAAAAATTTATTGAGATTGTGAGATAAGTATGCACTTGTAGTTGTAATTAATTAATAATTAGAGTAATGATGTCTGTTCAAACAAAATTAATGACCCATTGATTCTTCATAATCTTCTCGCATTATCAACACAATTAATCCAACCTTCATGAGAGCTGGAAGAGTGAGACCACCGGATTTCTTGGGATTTTGCGGCAGATGAAAATCTTTTATTTTTTCTTGGGATTTTGAAAAATTTTTAACTGGATCTTTTGCCATAAGTATTTTTTTTTGGTAAAAGTTTGATATTACGCAGTTTTAAAAAGGATAAAACTTAGGTCAAGTT